CGCTGAGAATATCGTCCGCGGATTCCGCCGGGATATTACGTAGGCAACGTCGACTTCTACGTTTCTCGAGTTGAAACTGGGTGAAGGACAGGCAGCTCGCCGTTCAGCCAAGATGGGACTCCTGGATCCATTCCTATCACATGTCATCCTTGACATGCCTCTGCACACCTGCGCATTCCCCATGTCACTCCAGCCATGAGAAGGTGATGCTGTTTTGCTCATTTTCATGCCGAGTGTAACGCAGCTTGCGGAGTGCGTGAATATTATTCAAAGGCAGAATTTGCCATTCTTTCAGGAAAAGATCGTCGAGTTGGGTACTGGAATTAGCAACGGAAGGCTTTGGGATATCCGTATAACCACAAAGAGAAAAAGGATCAACGGCTTAGAGGAGAAAGAAATGGCAAACGAACCTCCGCGTGAGGTGTCCGAAGATCCCACTGATGATGCGGTAGAGGAGACTACCACCCCTGTCGCCCAAAGGGATAAAAAAGGAGAGCAGGTGCTTGTTTGCAGACCCCAGGTTGGCAGAAGAATAGCCGGTGGTGGTTTCGTGGGTGTATGGCGAAAAAAGAAACCATAGGTAGAATAAATAGAACATGGTGATATATTTGGAATCGTCTCGGGAAATCACACGACACCAGATTGCCATGCAAAAATACGAGACAAAAATTCAAAACTGACGAATTCCTTCCCGTTTTCCAGAACAGCCCCTCATAATCAACTTACAACTTCTCCCTTGGATGCCTGTTCTACCTCAAACCCATCACACCATCTGAGAATCCACTCCGCAATATCTTTCGCAAGGGCCTCTTTCACCACTACTGGCTCCGCATTGAAGCTTGTGATACGCGCTCTCATAAGATTTTAAAAAGTCTTAATCATCCAACTTGAGTCGCGCCACAAAGCAACGGCTGGCTTCGTAATAATCAACCTCGTCCCCAGAGCCATGACCTGCCCATGTTGGTCCTTTTCAACTTGTCACTTTCCTCAACCTGCTCGCTCTCTAACCACAACCCTCGATCCAGCATATCTCCCAATCCGTCCAGAGCCCCCATTTTACGACACAGGGAATCCTTCCTCCTCTCTAGCCTGCCCAGGAAAATTGTGATGTGTTCCACGGACGGGTGCTGGAGTGAAACAATAAGGGGCGCATATGCCAGAACTCGCGCGAATGGGAGGAAGTTCCACAGACGAGTTAAGAACGTAGTAGAGACATTCCGCGCCTCCCTCGCTGTGTCCCATTACGTCCCCACGAATGTAGCGTTGGTATCAGGTGATGTCCTTTGGCTTTACAGAGTCGAAGATGCCGGTAAGGAATGAGTGCAAATTCGACATGACAACAACTTTCCGTATTTCCGGTCTGGCCACGGCTTCTATTACCGGTGACTGAACGTGCCTATCCCCCAAATCTATATGCATTGTTACCTTTTAGCTTTTTGATTGGGGTTGCTGGGGATTTCGGGCGCCAGCTTGATGTACTGCCAACCATTTTCCCCATATGTGAATCGACATGTGTCCCGTAGGCAACAAGACGAAATGGCAACGTAAAAGCAAAGGGGATTGCTGTTGTGCCTTTGTTCAAGTTGACGGACCTCGATCCCATATGAGATCAGTGTATGAATTGCCTTCAGTTATACATAAACAAATTAACTCGCATTATATGAATAACTGGATGAAGGGGGCCAACTATAAATTAGATTGTATGCATAAATACCAAGGAGTTTAATTCTGATAAATTCCTCTTTCCTTAAATTAAATCTTACACAGTAGTTTTTGAAAAATCCAAGGCAAAACATGAGAATGCAAATGAAGATTCAACAGATTTAATATGTGCTGTTTTCTAATAAAGTTACATATACTCCCAGTATTCCGGGTAGAATCCTGCTGCCATTTGCCCAATCCAACATCGCAACAATTTGAATCCCCATGAATGAGAATATTCCTTGAGGCTATGTCACCGTACGTGAAAACAATATTGTGAGTTGGCAGAACTCGTACAAAGCTGGCGATGTGGTCCACCCAAGAGGTTGTCTTGTGCGAGCTTCATGGCTCTGATATTTAGGCCCCTCGTTAAACTCCGACTCCGTTCCATAGGGCCCAAAAGACTCCTCGCCAACACAAAACAAATGGTCATAGCAAGGAGGACTATCAGCTTGGCCATAAAGCTACCCTCCGAGGAAATGCAGCTTTTCCATGTATTACCTCTGGTTGACCCAGAATAGATGATTGTTGTTCGCTGGTCGGGTTGTCCCAAGCATCTCGCAGGATGTTGCCTTGAATGTAATCCATAGTGATGACTTCGCGATCTGCAGATTCGTCAACATATGCATCGTATGTCTTACGGAATGGCAACAAGGCATAATCGCAAACGAAGCGCATTGTTGCTCCCGCTTGCACAAGCTAGGGCTGGCATACATAGTTCCGCAACCTTATTTGCCTCAAGGCGATATATGTGAACATACTCGTCGGAATGAAGGATGGGGCGAATTCTGACCTTCATACATTGCGCCATGTCGGGTAGACGATGAAGCGGTTTATGAGAGTTAGGCGATAAACAGAGAGAAGCAGGATGTAAACGTTCCTTGTCTACCAGGGCTGAGTGCAAATCGTCAGATATTTAGGTGCGTTGGAGGAGCGGACCTTAAAAAGGGCTAGTTACAACAAACCATCGAACCCGGTTGTTGTATATATGTATATATATATACATACATATATATTGCACCTTAATAACTTGGGAATGTCTCCTCCGTGGAAAGGCGACCTTGGAATATAGTAAGTACTGTATATATAACAAGGCGTTAACCGAATTAGGCTACAAGGTTCTAGCAACTACTCACAGATGCCGAGCTACAGTGCGTACCTAGATACCTATCCATAGGCCGTGTTTGCCTGCTTTCTGTGTTTAATGTTCTGTCTGCTATCGACATTTAAGAGTCTGTATTTTCTACAATGAGGGAGGAGGGTACTACTACTGGACATATACCGGTACTACTACCACATATGAAAAAAAAAAAAAGGAGAAAAAAAAAAAGGAGAAATATCGTACGAGGATATTCCGGGAAAAGGAGAAGGGAAACCCCATAGTTTAAGATGAGAAAAATCAGCCCCTATTCTTGATAAGAAAAAGTACATGAATCTCGAAATAAAAACGGAAAAAGAAAACACGGAAAGCAACAGCCGGGGACACAGAATACAGTTTGCGAAAACAAACCTGTTCGCCGTAGAGAGGGAGAGAAGGAGAGCTGGAGAAAAAAAAAGGCAAAAGGGAAGAAGAAATCAGGCAGAAGAGATAAAAGAGAACAAAAAATGTAAGAACCTATGTTGCTGGAAAAAAAAAAAAAAAAAAAAAAAGACCAAAACTATCACATGCCTGACACAACACTTCCAGTTCAACCACCGACCGACTTTCACCCTAAAACACCCGCTCAATCAGACTGATTGCCTAAATGACACAATCATGAAGGACTTCTGGAAACGAATGATCGCACACAAGGGGTGCAAAAACACAGATTGTCGCCACACCATCAAAGGGTTTCCAGGAACAGATCCGAGGAGAGAAGCAGAATACACAATAAACAGCACGACGAAAACGAAGAGCAAAAATCCGTAAATAAAAAGGCAACGGCGGAAATCAAGAGGAGAGGGGATAAATAAGGGTGACATAATAAAAACCATAGGCTTTAGAAAGGGAAACGAAAATATTCCGTCAGAAATAATGGGGGAAACAAAAAACTGCACAGTATAAGCCCTTGAGTCTCATAAATGTGAAAATAGAACCCTAGTGTCCGTCAAGAAGCTCTATCCCGATCCCGATCCCGATCCTTATCCCGTTGCGACCCGAAATCAACCTCAACAACCTTACCCTTTTTACTCTTGAAGGAAAACTCTGCCATTATAGCCAGGTGGTCGCTGGGGAAATGGTAATTGGGGAATCCTGGAACTCGTTGGAGATACTCCTTATCCACTTCACCAAGCAACCCGGTTACCTGGAGCGCATTGGATGTATACCAAATATAGTCAATCACATCAGCGAAGTCGGGGGTATAGTTAGTAAATTCAAGTTCTCCGATTGCACCGTAAGCAGACTTCAGGTTGAATGGATAAGACATCCCCAGGCGACTGAGATTTCCGTAAAGACGTTTTTCAAGGTCCGGGTGGTCTTCGATCAGGTGGCCGCGGTTCATAAGTTCGTAGACAGCGGATCCGGGGTACGAATTGAAATCACCGCATATAATAAGCGGGATCTGAGAGCCGCTGCTATATTCAACCGAAGGCGCGGGTTCTGCTGGAGTAGCAGTGCCATCCCCATCTGTCGAATTGCCTGGCTCAGAGAATCGGAAGGCAGTTTTATCGATGCAAGCAGGAATCTTAGCATACTTCTCGGCAAGCTGTGTTACTTCTTCCATCAAAATTGCAGCTTGGATGAGCTTAACGTCCTTATACGCCGGGTCCCAATATAAATGAACATTCACTACGATCAGCCGCTCACCAGAGAGTCGATTCTCCAGATATGTGACGACTGCAATGTTATCCTTTTGCCATAATCGATTGTATATGTCGTCTTGGCCTTTAGCATCGGGTCTCCGGACTGCAGTTTGACCAAAATGGATCATATTCTTCTCGAGAAGGATGTATTTGCTGCCCTTGAAGAATGTCGCACAGCCATCAACCACTTTAGCCTCCTCCTCCGGCATGCCTTGCGCTCTGCCTTTCGGCCAGTAAACTCCCTTGTAATCATTGTATGCAAGTTGTTCTCTAAAGAAGCCATGGTAGCTGCCTTGATCAATTTCTTGTAAACACACGATATCGGCGTTATACCCTTTAATTTCATTTAGAAGGAGGTCTCTGCGGTATTCCCACGCCAACGCTCGAGAAGGTGCATAGCCATGTTGCTGATGGGTTGCCGATCGATCACAGAGCGTATTATAGGAGAGGGCAGTGAACTTCTCGTTTTGACCCTTGGCTAAATTTCTACTCGAATCGTCGAGGACAACCCAGTCACGTTCCGAAGGTGGTAAATGAACTGCACAGAATTAGTAATAATGATTCTACTTGATTCCACTGCTTCAAAGCTACTTACTCGGCATTTCTTCTTTAAGGTATGTGATGAGCGCTTTTGTCCCTTCTTGCATAATTCGTGACTTGAACACTTCATTCAGAGGGTTTCCTTCTATACCAAGAGTTTGGAGTTGATACAGATATCCCATTTCGAACGGAAGAGAATGGAGGTTATTGTCAAATAGCAGCAGTTTCTTTAGGTTAATGAGCATACCAATCTCTCCAGGAAGTTCAGTTAGCTCATTTCCAGAAACGTCCAAATGGGTAAGACTTTTCAGCTGCCCGATAGTTGGAGGGAGGGTCTTCAATTTATTGTGATTGAGATACAGCTTTTCCAAAAAGGTGTAATGGAAAAGACCGGCTGAGATTGATCGAAGGCCTTGCCCACCGAAATCCAGGGCCATCCAGTCCTGCCTTCTTGCAACCTCTTTGGTTGCTTTGGAGCGATTCCGTTCTTCCGTGCCATTTTCGTTATTCTCTGTTTGGCTGGATGTGATTTGGATGCCCTTCGTCTGTTGAGCGACGGACCGAGCGTAATAGTGAGGAGAGTTCGCCTGCCTCGACTCTGCGGCAAGCTGTAGCTGCTGCTGCCAGTGCTCGTTCATGGGCTCCTCAATTTCCTCATCTACGTTTGCTGTTGTACCGTTGGGAATGTGGGTTGGGGTAAAATGAGGAGCAGTACTTGACAGTGCGCCGGATGAGAAGTTATGTTGATGGCCGATAGAAGAGTGGGTTGTTTGGGAGTGGGGGTGTTGGGGGTGGGGATGTTGTTGCGTATGATGTGGATGGTGACTCTGGTGTTGGAACTTCTGCATAGGTATCCCAAACCTCTGGTGGGCCTGTCCGCCATTCATCATGACATGCTGGCCCTGTGAATACATGGTATATGGGTTATGACCGGGTGACTGGTTGAGCGGAGGAGAACGGGATGGAGAAGGGGTGTCGGTATTGAATTTCAGTCTCCCAGTGGGAGATCCGGTTCCGTGTCGAACGAGTTGTCTCTGATGGGTGTTGGGATGGTTGTGCTGCTGTGTTTGTTGCTGAAAGTAGAACTGCCCGACCCCAGGCTGCTGGAACCGGTAGGTACCATCTGCCATTTAACGTGGTAGACGAGACAGTAGGTGTAATTCGAGAGGAAGGGGATTATCTCGCGGCGACGGAAGATAGAGGACAGGCAGCGGGTTCGGAGGTGTGAAAGGTCGGACTCGTTCCCTCCGTTTCTTCAACATGGGGTCCTAAGGCGGAACCACCAGAAGTGTCAACGGTTCGAAAACCCTAACTTGATCCCAAGTACCTCGACAACAGTGCACTCAGCAGTGTCAAGGTTCACGTCGAGTGGCGTGTATCCACGTTGGCTTGGCAATAAAGACTGTGGGAAACTGTGAAGGCGATGAGCCAACGCGATTGAGTTGCGGTGGGGGTGGGGCGGGGCTGATATCAAGCTCTCACAGTCAGGAAATCACAAATATTAAAACCGCTGGGAAGCTTGAGCAGGAATGTTCCTTTGCAAGAGTAGAGGTTGGATAATGATTGCGCTCAGGATTTGTGGTCTGTCTGGGTGCGTAATGCGAAGCAGTTTTGCATCAAAGGCGGGAGAAGATGCAATTGTATCACATGACTAACCAGTTAACTGTTAACTAACTAACGTAACTAGTTATAGTTAGGATAGTTGGTTAACTAAATAGTTAACTAACTAACTAATGAAGTTTCTGACTAAGCTATCAGTGCATCAAGTGACAATCGATCACATGATTTTCTGCCTGCCGCAACCTGACCTTTTTTTTTGTTTTGAATACCGTTTAATACAAACTCTACACCAGCCAACGTTTATACCACGAATCAACAAATCTGCTTCTTTCTGTTCTCAGGGACTGCAAATTATGACCACATGAGAATAATAATGTCATCATAGAGTCACTGTCGAAGCTTTGTTTCTTCCAGGTTTTCCGCCATGTGGGCCTCCGTCTCTTCTCGGATTGCCACTTCAACTGCTCTTGATTGGTAATTTGGATGCGGACACTCTGGCTGCCAGGGTCTCTGCTTCTTGTCTGCGTTTTAAAAGAGATGGAGATTGCCACAGGGTAGATAGGAAATTCTCACAATCTTTATTATTACAGTCTACGCAACCCCGCATGCTCGTATGGAGCGTTGTTCAACGGCTGTCAATTTTTTTACAAACCATCTTACCTGAATCAAGTCGGGGACCTATACCTAATCGTAACTCCTGGTTCCTGGCAGGATTGTTTCAGCCACTCGCTTGGAGAACCATGCAAAGTATGCATATGATTATTACTATGTGTTTGTGATTTTGAGTCGTGAGGGTGACGTTTTATTTCTGATCTCTGCACGATCTACGCACAGTCACCGTCCAATATCATATCGGATAGCACTATGTAGCCAAATCATTAACTTAGTTAAAATATCTACGGGCTCAACCTGCCACATGAAGCTCACGATGGTTGAGAAACTTTGAGAAGCTCTCGATTACGGCTATCAGTAGTCATTAGTTATTTTCAAGATGCAAACCCGGCATTGTCACTGAGTCCCTGGACTTCTAGGTTTCTCGCGACCCATACTGGCAAGTTCGTGAAAAACCCGCCCTTTCTTGCAAGAAGCCTTTTATAAACAATCACAGTGTTACGTCACCGCTGATTTCGCCAGGCAAAACAGTCCAACGGTCACCTAAATGTAGTGTCTCGACTCTGGCAATCACTGATATATATTCTGGCAACAGATAGTACTCGTCATTCACAACTCCTTTCCTCCGCACCTAGATATTGATCTTCTAGCCCAAGCGAACCAGCGGATGTTTCATCTACACAGCCCACTTCTCTTCTCCCCGTACAATTTGTCTGAACATACACTTGAAACAAAATTTCCATGTCTCATCTTTTGAAATTTCAAAGGGCATGGAATGGTAAAGCTATATTTTGTCAAGCACTCCTTGAAACGCTTTCAACACCATTTTCTGCAACTGAGCAAGGGTAGGACGTGGAACAGGTTGAATACTCTCCGAATACTTGTTCAAGGGCTCCCACGTCAAAGTGATACAAGGAACCCTTACCCAAGCCGTGGTCCGCTGGAAGGATTGTTATATTGAACATCGAAGGCAATCGGTAGATGTTCGGGAGAGACCTAGATGATGGGTTTTGCTTTCTAGGTCACAAGTCCTGTAGCTGGGACAGTGACCAGGCAGCAGGAAGTATTAAAATGGCGGGATCTAGCCTCACACGGGGTGGGAAACTATCATTCGTCTCTAAGATTTCAATCTGTTATGAGGAAGCCAATTACTCTAATGTTGCTATTTTCTGATCTGAATGTTCTAACTACTGACTGAACACTCTTGGATATTTTGGTAAGAATGAAGGCCGTGCATGGGATCTTGAGAATTTCACGGGCTTTTATCGCCGATGTCGGGGTTCCAGCTCCCTCTCCAGTAGATGTCTCTCATCCAATAATGACTTGTATATTGAATGTGGCTGGGAATTCAACCGTCTAACCTAAGCGATCGCCTACCACCAACCTATACTTTTAAAAAAATTCAAATAAGTAACAATTATATGGAATTTCATGGAAAAAATACACATTACTCATTCATCCTATGGGCATGCAGGGTCTCTCTGTCCTGTCTTGCCACATTTTCTGCAGTGTGCTGATACTTACTTTTCAGTAGATTGATTTGAATTCTCTACTATTCTCTTCACAACCGGTAGAGCAGCTTGCGCCCTAGCTAATCCTTCGTCTGCTGTCAGATAATACCCTTATGAGCTATATAGACGTGTCCTTATTTCACTTGTGTTTTGCTTCTCATTTGCAGCTTAGAGAGCCTCTCCTATGTGAAAATAACAGGACTATGCATGCATGACTAGCTGGCACCCCTTGAACTATTGATTGAACTAAAGAGGCGCTGCGAACAATGCTTAATTTACAGCTTGATCTTTTTAAACTGATGTTCTAATTAAGTCATATGACAGAAAGTCTTTAAAGTTTTAAAGATTTAAGATTTATAAAATATGTTGAAGAGATTAGTGTACATAGTTAAAATAAAAATATTTACAAAAAAAATTTAAATTATATGATACTAAGACTGTTGTTGACTCTGAATTTATTTCTAATAGGTATAATTTTTATAACTTCTTTCTAGCTATAACATATGAACTTAAAAACTTATTTTTATTTATATAATTAATATAAAATTCTTTATATATTTTAATATATTTTTTATATCTTTTATTTTAAATATATCTATAATTACAAATAATAAAAACATATATTGTAATATATAAAGAAATATAATAGTTCATATAATATGAAATTTGATTGATAAAACTTTTATAATTATCTAGAATAAGAAACTAATATTTTTCAACTATTTAAACTTTATATACTTGTTAAATATCTATTTTAATCACGTTGGATTTGATTTATTGTTCTTCTATGGAGATCAGCTTTTAATTGCCTTGTTGTGAATTCACATGTATAGTTCGCGCTTTGTAGTCAATAAAATAGGTTTGAAGAGCAATATCATACACCTTGGCAACGACTCACATGCTTGAAAATTGCTAAGTTTCATAAACTCTAATGACTAAAAGAAGCCTTCCCTCTTGATTGGAAGCTTGATCTTTTGATTTGGTTAGGCATATTGAATGATTTGATGGTTTTAGGTGGTTGGAATGGAACAAGTGTTCCAGAAGGTGGTCACTTACGTTAACTACGAAGTTTTAGTCACAAATGTATATCCCTGTGGTAACGTGCTTCACAACCATTCAAGACATCTCTCCGTGAGCTCGGTATGGCCTTCCTTGCCATCAACCAAGAATGCGGCTGGACATCTTTCTCGGTTGAGTAGAAAATCAGGAAACGAAAGATAAAGAATTTGGATAGGTTCATCTTCGCTCTTCCGGCCACCAAAAAGAGTATTTCCGTCCGCATGTTCGTGTTCAATCTTATAAAGTTCCTCGTCGTGGTGAAAGCATCAGATATCCTGTTAAATCCACACCTAAAGAGGTGTTCCGGCCTGCTAGGCATAAACACCAGTAGTTTGGATAATCCTGAGATCTTTCAGCTGGATGAATTGGGGAAGGATCCCCTTAATGTCTTCATCGCTATCATACTCATCCAGAGCGTCGATGACAAACACCAACACGAAAGAAGGATAGAGGCGCCGATAGAGGCGCCGACGTAACATTCTGTCAAGCGTCAACATAGGCTGAAAAATAAGACGGTCCAATGGCTCAGAGAAATATTTTTCTGCATATTCTCTCTGCTTTTATAGCGTATATATATGTATATAGAAAGGACGTGCATTCAGTCTGGGGCATTGTAACACTTCCGCCAGCTGGCAGCTAGAGTATTAAACAGCTGGTCTGAATTGGTCAACGTGTTTTATGTCTCGGAGACGGGTGTAAGCCTCGTCCTAGAGGTTTTCTGGCTAAAAATCCCTTTTGAGATGATGAGACAACCAGAGTGTTCAAATGCTCGGGTAGCACCTTTAGGGACTCAGTTGAGGTAACTTGGAATTTACGGTTCTTAGCTGGCGAGGAAGCATGGTGATGGCTTGTAGAATGACGACAGCCCACTACGGCAACGTTGTATTGGAAGCCCTCTTCAGCCTGCTTGCCCTCACATGGGGAATGGCTGTACCCAAGTCTATTCACCCCCGTCCCCTTCTTTGCGGATCCTTCCCTATGGAGCAAGTTGATGGCACGGGCCTTCCAGCGTTCCTTTCAACTGCCTAAAGGCGAACTGGCATCCATTTGCGGATCGGTAAATCGGGATATGAGGTCCCTCTAGTGAGCCCTCACAAACTAAGCGCGGATTTAGGGCGGGCTCAGTGTACAAGAACGAAGTGGAACTTTGCTGGAAAGTAGACATACGAACCGACACCAGACATGGATTAAAAAATCTCAACTCGAAAAATGGTCGTCGCCGTGTCAAGGTGTGGTGATTGCATGGCCACCCATGTAGCAGACGAATCAACGCTGTAATGAACCAACATCGGGTAGAGAGGGCAAGGAGGCGGCAGCCTTCCATAAATGTTCATATGTGCCAACCATCTGTCCATATTCTAGTTTTGATAAGCTTTGAAAAGAAAAGAGAACACAACCGCAGTCGACTCGCTTCCTCTGTCTGGGAAAAAACCAGTGCCATATTCCGCATAGATTGAGGTAAAATATCAGATGTCCTCCGTTTCTTTTCATCCTGGACGGCAAATGGAGGTAGCAGATGCAGATATTCGCATCTGATTGAGCATGGAAGTCAGAACCAGCCCGTGCAAAACCCCTCGGATAATAATAATCAAGGCCCAAGAAACTCCCTGCCTGGGGTCTATGTAACCCTGGCTAACTGTTAGGCCTGCTCTGATGTCCTGTTGGCCAGGTAATCCTAGTTAGCAATATCAGTCGGTTTTTGGCCGATAATTTCCCTTATTAACCCCCCCTTTCTAAGTGAGACCCTTGGCTTGTATTCTGGGGACGGGAACCAGAAAGCATCCTGGGGCTAATTTACCCCAGATCACAGGACAGGGGAAAGAAAAAGCGCGCGCCCGGATTGCCAATCAGGGAAGCCAAAAATGAAATCGCAATGGACTGTGCATGGGAAGCGTTTTTGAGATGGCTCTTCGTTTTGATGGTTCCACGAGTGCAATAATGCGTGATTTCTGCGTCGCCGATGGGTAGCGGTCTGAGGATTGGGACTCTTGTAGCATAAAGGCACCAATATCATCCGCATTGAGAGTTTGCTTATGGTCTGTCTCCTCAAGACAAGCAACAAGGAGATTGAAATTTGCCTCAAAATTGGTTTGTCAATACTGATAGGAGATGACCCGCCGATTCCTATCCTCTTCCCCACATACAATGGATACGAACGGGCCTGGGGGTGCTAGGTAGGAAACGCAACCTTAAGCACGGCAAGAATGTTACGCCGAGATATTCTTCTCGCCATTGACCCGATGAGAGGGATAAGCCTGACTAGATACACCGTTTCAGGAGAACCTCGAGAGATGGCTGCACCAGTTTGCCCAGAATTAGGCGGAGTGTCGAGTGGCTTGTTGAACTAAGAAAGGTAGCATTCCGTCGAAATGCCTAGTTAAAGACGAATCCCTCCCCCAAAAAGGCCCCAGAGCCGCAGAATCCGCCCCGCGATCGCACGCATTTGTGGCTTCAAGTTTCAGCTATTATTTAGCTGTTGTTATCTAGATTTACCTCTCGGAGCAAATAGTCCGAGTCGCTCAGAGTCTTGGATAGTCTGGAGAAGTTATCCTTTTAAAAACTAAGCGTTGTCCCTCCCCCTCTTACTCCGTTTCTTCTTCTCTACCTTGTTTTTTCTCCCTCCCCTCTTTGCCCCCTTCTCTGACTCGTTTCCCCTCAAAACCCGCCTCCTCGCCACTGGACCATACCCATAATGACTGATCACCCTCACTGGCTTTCCTGCAGTGATTCAACGATCGTCGCCACCCGAATCCTGATAACTGACGACCAGAGTAACTATACACCTTGTTACCCAAAGTGGAGTTTTGCGTAAGGTTGCTTAACTCCGAGAGGGCAGCGGACAGGGCATCATCCTAGGCTTCATTGCCTAAACAACTATTCGTTAATTATCTACTACGGGGTGGGGGCAATAGTTACGGAACACGTACACAATTATTAAATATTACGCAGAGTTAGACCGGAAAATTAAACCGACAATGGCCGGATCCGCCAATTTATCCTACCTCTATATCCCCAACTCGTCCATCACCTTCGATTCCAAACACCATGCCATCCAGCGATCCAACAACAACGCTACCGCCCAAGGACCCGTAATGCCTGCGACTTCTTCTTCTTCCTCCTCCTCATCCACAGACTATGCAACCTACCCACTAGAGAAACGCAATGGACGCACATACCTTCGAGACCCAGAAAACCCGTATCCGCTCCCGTGCGACCTTGCGGAAATCCACAGACAGTCGCTACGCTCCTTGATTTTGATGCAGGTCTTTGGCGCGCCCTTTTGCACACCTCATTTCGTTGACCATCCGCCTAAACGGGTGCTGGAGTTGGCATGCGGCTCCGGGTTGTGGTCAAACGCTTGTCATGACTATTTCGCTCAAAGGGGACATAAAAATATTTCCTTCATCGGGCTCGACATCGTCAACCTAGCGCCAGATCTTCAGAAGCAAGGGATGAACTGGCATTTTAAACGACACGACCTACGGAAGCCTAAATTGCCATTTCCCGATGGCTACTTTGATTTTGTCTTCATAAAGGATGCTGGAATTTGTCCGTCTGGGTCAGAGATGCAAACACTGCCATTGGGCGAACCTCTTCGCGTTTTAAAATCTGGAGGAGTGCTGGAAGTTTGGGATTCAGATCTTATATACAGAACTCTGCTCCCGAACCCCCCACGTGCACCTGGGTTATCAGGAGGAAACGTGGAACAGGCTGAGGCCACCGGTACATACACTATATTTCCGGCCACGCCCTTCGCAGATGTTCAGAATAAATACCTGCGGGACTACAACTCCTGGACCCAAAAAGCTTTTGAACGTCGCAAATTAAGTCCCATGCCTTGTGCCATAATTGGCCTTTCATTTACCTCTGAATCAGAATCTTTCCTGAGCGTCGACAGCCGCAGGATAGCAATCCCTCTAGGAGAGGTTAGATGGGAACGGGAGGCTCAGGGGAACCCATCTAATGACTGGGAGCAACGGAAGTCCTTGTCACTGGAGCAGCTTGCACTGCGCCAGACAGCGCTGGTTACGATTGTCCAAATGATCGAGAGCATGGAGCCCATGCTTATGGAAGCGAGCGGAAAGGGCAGGGATGAGTGGGATCGATGGTGGACTGGAATGACGACAGATTTACTGCAAAAGGGCGGCGCGGCCAGCGGCGAGTGTCTAGAAATCGGCGCATGGTGGGGGCAAAAACGATAGTCACATCCATCCACGGCCTCGACCTCCCTCACTCCGTTCCTCTCCTTTGCTTTGAGTAACTACAGCTCCTTTATTATCTATCACCGGGTGTGCGACAACTCCACCACGGAATTCATGCTCACTTCCCTCCCAACTCTTCCCACCACTTTCTAACTTCTCTTTTCGTCTACCTTGGTCTCTGAGTCAACAGGGACTTTGGGTGCGTCATATCGACTCTTGAGTGCGCGATATCGTCTCAGATAATATCTGCATTATACCCCGGTTAGCACTTCTCTTCTTTTAACCTTTTTTCCTGCTTAATTGGCTTTTGGTTTTTGTATTCCTCGTCCGTCTCCATGATAATTGGCAACCGCAAAACAACTTTGACAAATGTTGGCATGATTAAATAACTTTTAATATGGTGTACAAGGAGTCATGAAAAACGACAAGATGGTTATAGGCGGCACAAATCTTGCTGTGTTTCTGGATCAGTCTTCCTTTTTTCTCCCCTTCCTCCTCTTGCCCTTTCATCTTCATCTTTTCCTTTTCTTTAAAACGTATCTTCCCCCATTGCTTCTGACTTCTTGGGATTGTCATCTGCATATTGTTTGTTTTACCAATCCCCTAAGTTTTATATATGAAAGCTTTTATCTGTGTATAGCGTACCAAACGCTTTTTTTCCCCGGGACTTGAATTGCCAATTGAGACAACATTCGTCCTTCGTTCAAAACACAAAATGAAGAAACGAAGGTACGAGTTGGAGAAGCCCAAATGTTAAAGGAAATGGAGGAATCTGAACTTACAATGCCTCGATCTCTAAGACTTCGTAAAGTGCCTCAGGGGCACGGTCCACGGTTAGCATACTCTTTTAATATCTATACTTGCTGCACAAATATTAAAACAGCAAACCCCGAAAAAATTTGTAAAACAAAGGAAGCCAGTGCAAGTTCAACACCCCAGCTCTCAATAAATTCGTAAAAGAAAAGGTCAATAAAAATTAATTATGATAACAAATTGTATACACGTCACCTCGAGGAGGACAGAGCTCCCCGCAAGAACCACATTGAACACCTGTCAAGTACAATTTATAACATTCAGAAATACGCACCTTTTTTCACATACTCCGCCCTCTGTATACCGTCAATAATCTTCTCTTCATCCGTGATGTGAGATTGGCTCGCGAAGGCGCGGTGTAGTCGTTCGCGGAAAAATTGGTAGCCGAGAGGGTATTCGCGGCCGAGGAAGAGAAGCTCTATTCTTACAGGCAAGGCCGGATTCCAGTTAGCTGCTGTTATTAAGGGAGGGAGTCAAAAGTTCTAACGAAAAGAGAGGTACAATATCAACATGATTTTGCTGTGGTCTTACCTTTGTAGATATGGATGACTTTGTGCCGAAGGCTTGGAGTGGTCATGATGAGAGCTCCCCATCAATAGCTATGAAGAAAAGTGATTCAAAGACTGGGAAGAGTTGAACAGATCAGGTCAAGATTTGTGATGTGCTTCCTGTTCGAATTAGGTATGTGTTTGTGTATGGAGGATGTGTTTGTTTCTTCTTAAGTTGCAGAGTTGACGTGAGCATTCAAATGGATGGCAAATAATTGCAAAGGACTGGGTTGTAAATGAATCATTTATTGAATTTAATCAAATCACCTAACTAAAAAACAACAAAAATACAGAACTAAATTTTGAAACTTTCAAACTTCTATTCTAATACAGAATTTTTTTACGGCTATGTGACTTTAATTACTCATCTCATCAAACTATTTCTATATTAATAGTAAGATAATAGACTGTTAAATAATATTAAATTGATATAAAAATAATTAATAATAATTAATAATATCTATTAATCTTCAATTATTTTTTTTAAATATTGAAATCTTTTAACTATATATATTAATATTAATATTTTTTATTATATTTATTATTATTTATAGTTTTTAAATATTAAATTAATATATATTTGTTAAAAACTATGATGGTAAAAAAACTATTCTTTTTAACTTTATTATATATTTTATTTACTGTTAAGATTTTCAACCTTTTGCTCAAACTTAGCTTCGTACTTTTCTATTCTTTCATTAAGTTTCAGTTATATATTTGAAATTCTTTATCTTATATCTACTTTCTTTCTTTTATTTCTATTCCTACGACGAAAGAATTCACACCAACATGTTATTTTTAAGTTGGGTGGGAGAACCGATATGGAAAGCTGGGCATCGAGCCACATAGCAGATGTCTCTTCCATGGTATCCCGTGCTCTGCAAGCCATTTACTCAAAAGGAGTGCTACAAGGCGACGTGGAGCCTCGAAATATAGTTTTGTAAACTCCCGACGATAGTCGATTTTGAAAGAGCCACAATACGGAGAGTTCTTTTCAATTTGTCTTCCAATTCAGCAGAAAGGGGAGGCGATTTAGTTAGACTCACTACCAGAAGCTTCGTAGCATGGAGAGCGCCCTTGGTATATCTTGGCTTCTGATTTTTATTTACTCAACCGTGTCGCTGAGGGCTATTATATATTTTCTTCCTACAAATCCAATCTATGCTCCCTATCTGTGATTAAGAGTTTCTTTGGATCATTCTCCCAATAATCCTAGCTGCGCCATGTGCGGCTGACGGAGCTCACTGTGGCGGACATTGATTTCACCCTGCGAGGCTCCCTCTTTACCTCTCGATGATCCTCAACGGCGTGCGGAACCTGAGAGAATGGGAGTGAGGTTGACGCGAGGAGATAGCGGTTGACCGTGAGGAGAGTTTGCACTGGTTCGCTGGCTTATCAAATTCTTCGTTGTTGCTACTTCTCACAGTATAATTTTTATTCAAGTTGCTTGATGGCCCGCTCGTGCTGTGTACATCAGATTCAACCCAGTTTTCATTGGCAAGCTGCTTGTGGGTACCGGGGGGAACGACGGTCGTGGCTTTTCATAAAGTTTGACGCACTGATTTCCTCCGGGTCTTCCGTTGGCAGGTCCAGGAAAATGAGTGATGTTTGCCTTCATCCCCTCTGAAGACTACTGAGTCTTCTGGATAAAAATGAGTGATGGCTGAAACCGCAACCGCGACCATGGACCTGGCATCAGATCAGTGGTGCTGTGCTGTCCTGTGAAGGGGGATTGGAGTCGCCCATAGTCTCGCTCTTACTTTCATCTGGTTTTACTGAGTGAGCTACCAACAGGGGTCAAGTGGAATCATGATAAAGAAATGTAGTAGACTCACCTTGGATTCTCTCTTCACGCTAATAGTACTTTAAATTTTATTATTCTCAGAGTAACTTTTTGAGAGAAAGATAACAAGAGTATTAAAAGGTTGTTATCGCTAACAGCCACTGTCGGCTCTTTGATTACTGTGTAAGGACTGTCTTACCAATCGTGAAACCTTCACTTAATAATACGGGGTTATAAAGCTCTATAAATGCAATGGGATAGTCATGTTTTTGCGAATGTAGAACCATATCAAGACAAATTCAATTCAGATGTTGACTTCCCGAAATGCAAGCCGAAATACTCTCGGCTCGCTGCGTCAATGCCGATCACGTGGGATCTCATATGCCGGCAACGGCCCGAGGCCGACCTCCGAGTGGCTGCAGCAACCTCAAGACTGAGAATGAAAGCTAAAGAAGACAAGAGTCTGGAGAAGAAGGTAGGTTCAAACAACGTTTCGTGGGTTGGGAGCAAAGCCTATTCCGACGGAATAATGATGACTTCTCGTGTGCTTTGGCGGCAACAGTTGCTTTCCAACCCCCATGTTTCGGGACGAATCCCATCTAATTGCCGCTCTATCAACCGCAGCGTCGCGACCAGTGGCCGACATGTAGAACATCCTTCTTCCTATCACACGCAAACTACGCCGGTCCCCCATGAATTTAATTCGAGATGGCTCTCGACGATTAAAGGGAGACTAGGGCAATGCTTTACATTCGGAATGAAGTCACATCAGGTTGATGAGGCGGGAGAAATACTCCGCGAACTTGCACGGGACTGGCGAGAGTTGACTGCGGGGAGCGAAGGGTTCCTCACAGGTAAAGGGAGGGAGGGTCTCTTTCGCCACAATGTTGCGTGGGGAGAAATGGTATTCAATGCGCATCCTTGCCCTTCATTGTGCTTGATAACTGATCTGCTTGTCCTTCGCCGAAATGATAGGATGTTATGGTAAGTAGCCCATTTTTAATATTCTTGTTCCTTTCCCAACAACGCACCACTTCTGTGCAGCCCTTCCTTTTATTCTAAGTCTAATTGGAAGTAATCTATGCTAAAACAAGTAAACTATAAGGGTAGAGTTCCGACACCCCCTTCTAAGCCGCAACTTTCAGGCCCTTTACATGGCCCAGATGACGAATGCCTAATCCTGGCTCATTGATTTCAGGACATGTAAATAACGTATCGTACGTGAGATATGCGGAGACCGCACGAGTCAATTGGATGAAAAATATCGGAATCCATGTTGACCCCGCGAACAAAAAGGCATGGTCTGACCTCCTGGGTTCGACGGGCATCGGGTTGATATTGAAAAGTATCAAGATAGACTATAAATTTGTGAGTTCAGTGGTCTCGCTCACATAATATATTAATATGGCTGCTGTTTATGAATTGACAACCTGTCGCTAATACTACAAACGGCACACTTCGTTGACTGATGAGCTGACGAGAATTTAAATGCAGCCAATGACCTTTCCAGATAAAATTAGTGTATACCACAAACTGTCACATACTCCCCCAGCACTTTCCAGCCCGGCATCCTCATCATATTCCTCGTTCCAGCTTGATGTATTGATCCTTTCCGAGGCGCATCAGCGACCTGCTGCTCGGTGCCATGAGGATATTGTCACATATGACTACCGTCAGGGTCGTAAAGTGAATATGCTCCCATCGTTCATGATGGACCAGTTCCGGGAAATGTGGGAGTTGCAGGAAGAATCTCGGCGAGTATGGGGCTCGAGGGTCAAAGAGATTGAGGAGAGGGTGGAAGATCTGGAAAAATCTAGTTGGGATCGGCCAGATGCTGTTGAAGATATGGGATCATCAGGGTGAGGGTGCAAATGCTTGGCTTGCATCAGTTCAGGAATGATTATATAGGCAGCCCGTACAACTAAACAGCCAGATTCAAACTTTTTGAGTTCATCGTTCAAGAATCCAATTTTGCCTTAATCAATCATCGCATTACATGACTTAGGAAGTGATATCGGGTGGAGACGAGAAATTGAATTTGTATGTGTGGCACGTACATAACTTCATACACAATAAAGTTTGTAATATGCAAGTAAGTATTCAAATTGTTGTCCGAGATTTGTCTCAGTTCAGATTTTTCATGTCACTGTTTCGTTCCCAGATGTAAATTTTTCTTCGGGGAAGAGATAAAGGAAAACGAGCATGAAAACCGAAGACAAAAGCCAACACACAAAAAAAAAAAAAAAAAAAAAAAAAACACCATTCCAGGTTTCATTGTCTCCGAATCTATCAATTTCAAGCCGAGATATAATAGGAATTGTCCCACTCGAAGAAGCCCGCCTTCAGCCGTCTTCTGCCTGAGAAGCTGTGGTCCTATGGATGGACTTCCAAGGTTCTAGGGAATTAGGACAGGAATGGTTTGGTATTCCTAGTGAAGCCCTATAGACAACAAAGTGTGTCTCATACAGGATGGTATGGTACGGTAGAATACGGTCACTCTTTCCCGCTGCCCGACGCATCTGATTTCCGCTTTGCCGTTCAAGACTTTTTCTTCAGGACTCATATCTCAATCGTCGCTGAACACGATATCCAGGTCCCATACCAGGTAGGGGAGAAAATACAGCACTTGGAAATGTCGTCATTGCTGTCCTGATTATCCTTAAACCCTTGAAAATTAATTAGTTTTTCAAGGTGGGAATTTTGATCAATCTATTGGCATGTAGCTGTCTTCGGGCAAGCTCTAAATGAGAATAAAGGTTTGTTCGTCTTCATCTGGAAATATTGAGAAAGAGATTGTCAACCAAATTATTACGCAGGAATAAATGCTATGTGAGGCATTGTCTCTCTTGCTTCGGTAATTTTTTCCATCACCAAAGTTGGCAAACATGGGGGCATTATCCAACCCCTGATCCGAGCAGCTTGCAGGGATCTTTTAGCTGCCGACGGTTCCAACCCATGGAGTCTCTGAAGACTCCTTTCGCTTCAACGTTAGTGCAACCAAGATTATTGTATATTGAGTAGTTATTCTTATATCGTCCAAGTTCTCTTCACATGTTGTCTTTCAGTGCGTGAAATTGGAGCCCCAATTGCCTTGGGAACATCTTGTTGAGACGAGACATAGTTAATGAATGTAGGAAGAATACAAAGACCGTGTGAATATATGTACGTTCAATCCTGGACAACATTTTTCAGTCGTAACCAAGTCAATTTAGATATAGGTCTGTCGTACGACCATATACTCAACCTTTCCCCTTTGCAAGTTGATGATTAACGACGGGGAGTTGCCGTGTTGGTCTTTGCACGGTCCTGCCAGTCAAAGGAACCTACCCCGCCGGGACAACCACCAGGGATACAACCTGGATGAGCCGGCTTGGCTACACGGAGCAAACTTCCCACCTGGGAATTTTGGGTTGAATCTCGACGGTGCAGTTTTGCAGAACCATATCGTTTTCTGAATGCCCATACACCACTAACTTGCTGAAGAATTGTACCCTGCGATGCCTCAGCGTCCTATGATCTGCGCAATACCGGAGGTTTATGAGGACTTCTTTAGCAGGAAGCGTTAACCGCCCGATGTTGAAGGATACGAGGAATTGCCGGCCTGACTATCCCCGTAGGTTTGGTTGCATTTGCATCTGGAAAAGGCACTCTTTATGGTACAGTTATTTCAAGCATTCTCCAAGGAAGCAAGGAAGCATATCTGGTCATATTTCACATCAACCGCTAAGAGGATTGCCATACGCGGTTAATTATGTAGGATCCAACAGGAGAGTCGCATGCCAGCATGGCACACTGCAGATCTGGCTGCCCCGCAGTAAACAGCTATTGCAAACGGATGGGCAGGACCAACATCGTGCGCCCAACACAACCTAAACTGGATTCGATTCAAACAGAATATCCATTGACGGAGATGGAGGAGGGGCAATTAGAATAAGCTGTGTTTGAAAACTATCATACCACACAGCCCCACTTGGGTTATTTTCTGCCTTATTTCTTATCGTCATTGATGCCAGAGGTCGTTGACGTGTTGCATCCCATCTCAACCTGCACCCACCCCCCCAATCACTAATAACTTGTTTATTGATCAAAAATATTATCAGCAATGATTATTCACTGGCTGATCCAAAAGCCAGAAGTTAAAGGAAGCCCATGGCACTTAGGCCCATGTTGCGACGCAATCCATGGTAGTGCATTGGGTAGAAATTCGAACACATTTATAGCCAACCTGCTTCTTTGGCTTGCAAACAAACCCAAAAGCACAAAATGCTGGCTTTGGGAAAGAACCCATGGTTATTTAGCTACTGAGAAAGCTCCATATTATTAGTTGATGGCTCAACTGAGTATATATATCGGGAGGAGTGAGAGGCGCTGAGAAATTGCTGCAGCGGGACTCGAGAGTATGGGATTACTGAAGCGACTCGATCGAGTGCCCGCCTTGATCTAGGTTATTATAGTCTAACCCTAAAATTGTTGTTAATAATTGCAATTCAAATTAAATAGTTGATGCACCGTGGTTATGATGGCTGACGGTTGGGTGGCCGGCTCGGTAGGGAGTTATGTTAGCTAGTTTTTCGTATTCATAGTACTCATAACACTTTATCCTCCTTGAGACTGCTCATGGAGTCAGTCCACTGACTCAACTAAGGTTTCAATTGCTTTACCAGCCTTGGCAGACTTCCCTCAAAACGATGCATGTAGAGGAGTTTTTAGCAGATCTTGGGCATTTTAGCGTAGCTGTATCCACATTAGTTTTGAGCCTCGGGTTGCGCGACCAATAGCGCCAGCCTGCTCTGACAAATGACCAGATCTGCGGTCCTCGGAACACAGCAATGCCAGTTTCCTTGTGCATCTGCGATCCGAAAATGCGTGTTACCCAGAAGTGTTTAGAAGCATTGTCATTTGAATTGTTTGGCTGGTGCGGAAAAGCATTTAGTATAACTACTGCATACACACCTTTAAGGAAGAAGGCAAACAAAATTTTGCTGGGGCTAACTAACTACCTAAGTTAAACTAAAAGAATAGCTTAGTCATTGGGAATCATAAAACCGCGGAAGTAATGTAATGTATTGGAGCGTATACAACCTGTATTGAATGCAGCAATGCTGTGTAATGGTGTTTTACATACTACACAGAAGCCGATTGCCTGCATATATACCTAGGGAGGCAGGGAGGTCGAGTTATCCATGGATATTTCGGTGACGCTGACCCAGGGCGTCCAAGGGTGGAGACTGAAATTAAGATCTATCAATCTAGCCGGTAATATTATGTCCTAACTCTTTTCCACCGACAGGGCTGTACCGTAGATTACACAGCACCTACACAGAGGCACAGGTATAGATACAGGAACCATACGATACGGTTCCCGGTTGCTCGCTACCCGCCAAAGCCTCGCCAAGACTTTCTCCTTTGAAACTGGCTGCTGAAAGACCCAACTTCATTTTCTCTCCAGGCCACCAGCCCATCACCGCGGAATTACATTGAAATATCCACTGCAAACTGCGTTACTTTTTAACCCCTTGCTACTTCTATTCTCTCGTTCCATCCATTTTGTTCCATCCTCTCGTTCCATCCTCTCTTCGACCGGTTATTCTCTCACCCTCTCAGATCCTCACCAGTTGTCCATTTCCTTGGCCCACGCCTGCCAAGTGGATTGGGACCTGGCATATCGGAATCCCTCGTCCATGCGACGACCAGGAGGCACAGGCAGGAAGATTCATCACGGAAATCGACATGAGAACGGTTTCGCTGTTTCTGGGAGAAAGCTGGCCAAGCCAAAGTCAAATGGCCACCTGAATGGCAATTTTAATGGTGTACACCCGCCCGCACTGCCCTCGCATGCCAATTCCACAGACCAACAACAATCAATAGAATCTGGGGAGGACAACGCCCTGGATGGACCAACGGAGTCGTCAAAGATGGAATCCAACGGACAAGCCCAGGCAAGCGGATATGGGAAGGTCACCGCGGCCATGTCGAACGGACATTCGTACTCACCAACATCGACTAACGGAGGAGTTTTGCCGGGCAAAACATTTGATAAGCAAACACCAGCAAACACAGACAAAACAGGAGGAGGGACTACCGCTTCCGTGAAAAAAACATCCCCGCCAAACTCTGTAAATCCATTTTCCCTTGCATCTACCATCCTCAAGTCATGCCCGATGTATGACACTGTCGCCATCCTCATATTTCTCCTACAACTACCACCGATCGTTTTGACCCTCGTCCAGTTCTTGTTTGCGTCGTTGACCTTCATGCCTCCTGCTGGCGTTTCTACGAATGTGTTGACGTCGAATTTCGACATTTTCCAAGGACCCGCTGGGACTCCCTCACTCTCTACGATGATCGCAATGGATGGATTTTGTCTTTTAGTATGGGGCTTGTTTATGTGGACATGGGCACAGAATTTTGCAATAGATCTCGCTCAGGTCCAGGTCGCGATTACAATGGGAGGAGGGAGTTCGGGCAAAAATGAAGGAGTTAATGCGTTTTGTGTCATGATGGTCCTGATCGTGCATGTCCTGCGCAGTAAAGGCATCCAAGACTTTGTCATAGGTCACCTTTTGTCGGCAAAACTAATTACTACGGATACCCTTGCTCAATATTCTCACTTGGTTCCTCAAGAATTCCGACGGAAAGAGCCCCCATCTCCTCCAAGTTGGTTACGAAGTCTCCTTGCAGTCCATATCCTTGCCCAGGCAGGGACTGCTATGGCAAGGCGTTCTATGGCCAAAAACCGCACTCTTCCTCCGTCGAAACCAGGAAAACGAACTGATACAGAGGCATCTGCTGGCTCGCAAACCCATGTCGATTTGTCTACTTTCGAATCCGCTACAAGTGGTTCATCTATGTTGACGAATGATGGCTCCCTTGCGGGGCCAACGGTACTAAAAGAAAACCGAGAACGACTTTCCAGTGCAAAGAAAAGACGAAGGCAAGCAAATCAAGTGCGAAGTAGGCAACCATTTTGGGCTGCTTTAGCAAGCACCAAAGTCACTGTGATGCGAGAGTATGACCATTCCCGGAATGGGATATGGTCGGCTACTCACCATCCAGTCACTGAGGATGATGTCGAAGGAGCTCCTTTGAATGATGGATTTATATGGATTACACAAGTCGATAATTCCTCGATTAAGTTCGCGGCAAGCGATTTTGTTCAGATGGATGATGCTTTTTATGACGAAACTAGCGATCAAGGTGTTTGTTCGGAACCTTTTTATGTAAGAGTCAATGGCGCCCACTGGGCCCCTGTTACACTTTCCAGGGTACTTAACAAATCTGGGGAGCCGTCGCTTGTCCACTGGAGAGGTGAGATTTCTAGGTTAGCGCCAGATTGTGCCTATACTTGCAGCTTCATCCGGCATGGTACCGATGAAACTATCTGTGTTATGAGTGTGAAAACACCACCGCTTCCCGACGCAGACCAAGGTAAAATCATCCACTATATATACATGCCTCTTTCTCTTTCTCTGTAGAGAGACTGACGTACCTTGCAGCACTTTCTATCTCTAATATTTCACCATCGCCCCGACAATCCCTCCACCCTTCTTCTCCCACCACTACCATCAAAAATTCTATTGTCAACGCCGAGGCTAAGTTAAGCGAACGTCGTGCGCGCCTGAAAAGGTCAAAAAACGATCACAAGCTCCTTATTTCCAAGTTGAAAAAGGAGGTCGATAGTTTCACAAATCGTCTCAGCAGTGGTTCTGATGAGAATCGACTGAGGCAGAGGTTGCTACAACTTAAACGGACTATAAAACAAACAGAAGAAGCTACTGCCACAATCGATGCTCAGTTACGCAATCTGGAAACTGTCCCTGATGAGGAATTAGAAGAGTGGAATTCACGGAAAACTTCTTTAGATCAGGAGATGGATCGTGTGAAATCGCTCAAGGAAGAAGTGGACACTGCAAGGATCGTTGCCAGTAGGAGTATATCTTCAGTCAAGTCAGAGCTAGCCTCGGTTATCCAGAAGCGTGAACGTCTCCAAGGGCGCCAGCAAAGATTGACAGAACAGCATGAACGCATTACGAGCGCCAACAATCAGGGTCTCAATGAGCGGGAACGAAGAGCAGCAGAACAACTTGCAAAGGAACGTGAACGTGCAGGGATCGAAGAAAGCTTCTATGATCAATTAACTAGCATTACTCGATCAGTTCAGGATTATCAGATTCGCACAACCCACCTCTGGCAACAAGCCTCGGCCATCGAACAAGCCTTCCAGCAGCAACAACAGCAACAAATGCTCATTAATAGCGGTCCTCTCACCCCTGAAGGCAATCTGCCAGGTACCAACCCGCCAGCTTTTGAAAGCCGGACGTCCACGATGTCGGCAATTCCCTCAACTACGAGATCTAATTCGGGCCCAATTTACCCAACATTTGGTACCAATGAAAAGGGAGATTTCGCTGATCTTCAGGCTTCGATGTCCCCTGTTGCAGGATATTCGCATTTGGCGCATGTGGAGCAGCAACCATACCCTTCCTCTCCATTGGCCACTCCCGACCCGTTCTCTGGACCGGAACCCACTTCTCAGCGACATCGATCACTATCTAATTTTTCCGGTGGAAGCATGCTAGCAGATCAAATCATAGTATCAAGACCGGGAGGTTCTCCTGATTCTATAGGGGAAACGAGCCAAAGAGGCGTAGCGAATTTCGGACGAGGTACTCGCAAGTTTACCAGATCTGGTAGTCAAGGCAGTGTCAGTGGTAGCGGCAGCGGCAGCGGAAGTGGAAGTGGAAGCCCTCAGTCAAATCGGGAAAACCCGACTTGGAATGGATAATTTTGCAACGTCAACTGCTTCCGCTCTGCCTACGCGGCAACACCATTTCGGTTGTTATCAGTTTTGCTTGCTTTGTTGACCTAACATTACATCTGCCGCCTTACTTACCCTGTCCAGCATCTCAGATGGCTTGTGTTTGACAGCTGCTCTTGATAGGTGTCTGTATATTTGTCATTGCTCTCTACCTCATTCCGCCATCTTCCATTACCACTATCCCTCTATTCATCCTTCAGGAACCAAGCCATTATCGCTTTCAACACCGGGACCAACTTTATGGATTAGATACCTCTCCAAGTTTTGATTGCAGCGCATATTAGACATACAAACACCTTGCACATGCACATACATGTTGATAGCCCCCTTGGTTTTGTTTCCTGTCTGCTTGATTGGACAGAATTTCAGAGTAAAAAGGAAAAGCATTGGGAAAGGGAAACCCTCCCTACCAAAGGCTGGCGTGACTCTTTAAGCCAAAGGACAATATGAGAAGAATAATCCACCCATTACCTCCAAAGACAGACAGTGGAGAAGAAAGCAGACCCAAAAGCACTTTTCACACACCCTTGATTTTCACCACATCACCGTCTAGGCATCAGACAGACAACTCGAGCGAATATATTTATCCATCATTCGTTGTTCGATATAGACACCTCTTTCTCTGATTCTTTGTTTCGTCCCTTGGTGTCCATAGATGACTTGTTGGACTTACCCCGTATTGCTGTCCTCTGAGATTCGTAACCCTCCTTTCATTAGAGAGGCAAACATCTACAACGATGGGTTAGGACCGCCGTTATACGATATGATAGAGATAATCATGTAGAACCTTGTTAAAATAGGGGTATACAGTACGTGACTTGAATCATTCAAACTATTTAAATACGGTAGTGAGTTTACAAACAAAAGTGCTCAGTGAACAATGCCAACCCATGCCTGCACATATATACCCTCAGTCTAGATTATATAGAAATACTGCCCTGTCAACCCATTTCCAAACCATGATTGATTATGAATCTATAATATCAATATTCTCTCCAATTTTCCAGAATCGGGTGTCCGCATATGATAAGCATAAATGCTCTGGAGAATGCACGTTCACCTGATCGCGATGCTCATCTGCTTCTTTATGGATAATATTGACTACCCGCCCTAGTACAACGACGTGATTGCCGACTTTCACGCTCTGCGGAAGGTACCGGCATTCAAATATAAACGGGAAGTAATCCACAGAAGACCTCGTAATAGGGCCCCCCTTGGAATTTATCAAGGTCAAACGAGGTGGCTCCCCCTCCGCAATCGAAGGTAGTCGATCATCATCTCCCGCACTTATTGAGACGAACTTATAAAACCGATCCCTCTCATCGTTGAGCATGACATGGGCATTTCCCTGAGAGAAGTCCCGGGCTAGACGTGCAGTCGCATCTGCGGGGGCCAAAAGGTGCACGAGGAAACGGGACGAGGAGCAGATGGCATTGAAAGTTTCAGAGGGGAGTTTTACGTTGAATGAGACAATGGTTTCTGGGTATAGGGTAACAGTGTTGAAGGAGGAGACTGTCATTCCACGAAAGGAAGTTTGTGCTGTGGGGGCAGCTGGATTTGTGGATGTAATTATCGCGACAGGGTGGGGGACTCGGCGCATAAGAAGACGGACTTGGTCGCCGATGTCAACTTTGGAATCCCCATTCTCCGTCCGCGCGGTGGCTTCCGCTGTTGGTTGAGGAACTTCATCAACATCCTCGTCGATGACGACTGCGTTTTTAGCAACGTTGGTCTGCGAAGCATAATAACCTATGCGGTGCTTGACAGTCTGTGGTGGTTTTGTCGTGTCCTGAGGAGATATCTCTGTTACCCGCGGAATTCGACGGGGTAGTACTGGGCTGATTGAATCTGTAATGCTTACGGCATGCTTTGATAGAATCGTCCGCAACAACCCGTAGGATCGGAGTAAGTGATATCTCGTCGGGGAAGAGATTAGCTGCCCATGATGTCCAGGTCGATGCAGCGGTTTTGTGCTACGGAGCAATTGGAAGAGAGAACGTCGAGCACGGAAACTCGGGCAACAGCCCGACAACATCTTCCTGAATCGTCAAGGTCCAAACGGTGCATTTATTACCGCCATTCATCTTTCAGAATGAAAAAAATTATAACTACTCCTCCAACCTCTAGGCAATTGGGGTCATTGTGTCTTCTCTTTTCTGGACTGTTAGTAGAGGGACGTTGAAGAATAGAGTTGGAACAGGATTCCTGAAAATGCGCTTATATAAGCCATTAATTAACTCCCAAAGGAACTAACTAGTTAATTCTACGACTTCAACTAAAATGCCAGAAGAGATACACGTCTCCACAATCGCCCCCCTTCCGCATTACGCCCAATTGAACATCTCAGCCTCGGAACTGAAACCTCAATTCCAACATACTCCTGTCGCGGAATACAAAAGGAACATCAAGCCAACCCCCAATCGCTCGCGCAACCAACGATGTCCCTCCATCTCCCCATCCGCCACACCTCCACCACAGCCCTCTCCAATCCCAGCAGAACAACCTTCATCTGCACACAATGCAGACACGCAACTCTCCTTCGACGACCTAAGCGGCCATACACCTTTACACAGCTGATAACCCTCTCGGACGGCAGTACCTTCACTCACCGCACCACCTCCCCACTAGCCGTCTACCGCTCCACGCGAGACACGCGCAATGCACCACTATGGAATCCATCGAGCGAGAAGCTGCGAAATGTTGAGGAGGACGAGGCGGGACGGTTGGCGGCGTTCAGAAGCAAGTTCGGTCGGAGTTGGGATGCGGTGAATACGGTCGTTGCGGAGACAGCTGCTGTCGCTGGAGGGGATTCTTCGAAGCAGGGCAGGGTTGAGAAGGTTGAGGAGGGTGCCGTGGAGTTTGAGTTTGAGGAGGATGAGGAGGAGGATAATTTGTTGGATTTGATTACTTCGTTTGGACAGGAGGAAGGGGGTGAGGGGGCTCAGCAGGAGAAGGAGAAGGGTAAAGGGAAGAAATAAACCAAGAGGGTTAATTGGGTTTTCTCTTCTTCGGTTATTGGCTCTTCAAATTTTATATTTTTTTTTTCTGCTGTGATTTTCCGTTTTCATTTGGGAGATATTGCATTGTATGAATATATGGAGTATTTTTTTTGCGGTGACGTTCCAATATTGTACTGTACATCATATATACATTTCTGTGGGATACGCTATTAATACGTTGACCTGCCTACTACTCTCGATTCATGCCAGGTCTCCAGTGGATTTGAGATAAGTGTTGGAGATACCATTATGCACCAAAGATATGCACCAAAGACATCCAAAAGTATAATATGACAGAATGGCAAGCTTGGTTGATTGAATAGTTGCTAACTACGAGAACGACTATTTATATGGTAGAAATATGTCACGTGATGGGACTGTCCGACATAATAAATGCCCAAGTCAGCATGTCAACACCGAAAACTTACTTTCGCAACTGATAGAGCCTGTTAGTACAACGAAAGAGACGGGCAAAAATAAACTGAACGGGAAATAAAATCTGTTAAAGCAAAATTGAATTATTTGGAAGTACATGTATAAACATAAACTAAAGCATGATAGGTCTGAGGGTCGTCAAATTTGCTTCCCGCTCTACGGTAGATATGAACAAAAACAGAAATCGGAGGGAGGTAATAAATGCTGTTAATTACGACTCTTGTTCTGTTGCAGTAGGTTGAACCTCTTGTCCTCCATCAGAAGTGCCAGGTCTCGATTCTAAATTCGTGGGGACAGGCGTGAAGTAAGCGTTGGCATCGTCGTCAGCATCGAGCTGCAGGAGGAACGTCTCCCAAAGTTCAATCAACTACAAAATTAATGACGTTAGTATTTTGACAAGCACTCGGAAGGCTGAGAGGGTTAAGTTGGTGCGATCTAACCTCCTTCTGAGCTTCAACAGCACTCTCCAAAAACGTTTCAACACCAGATTTGAAGTCCTCCACCTTCTCCTTTTCAAACTTCTCCAGCTCATTCCGCATCACTCTACCCATGTCCTCGAACAAAAGTCGGGACTGGTGTACCTTCCTCTCCGCATCCGCGACATCTGCAGCAGCCTGATTCAATCGATCCTGCTGAGACTTGCCCTGTCGAAGCAATTTGTCCTGCGCATTTTTCCGCTTCTGTAGTTCAGACTCAGCAGCGTGCCAGCTATGAAACGATTTTTGCCGCTGAGAAAAGGCCGCCTTCACACTTCCAATGATCCGGATATATTCATCAACTGTAATTCCTAATGTTAAAATATCTTGCTGGGCTTGGCGCTCGTAGAGTTCCTTTATTCGTAATTGCAGATCTGAAAGACCCTCGAGGGGGCCGGAGAGGGTGGGAGAAAGTTCCACCGTTGCAAGGGAATGGAGTGATGCTGAGAAGTCATTAGCAGCCTCAGCCAGGCCCTTTCGTTGCGCAACAACTGTATCAATTGCCTTCATCAACCCCTTCAGCTGGTTCTCAAGGGCGTCGAGGTATAATTTGCGGTCATGAAACCACTACTTAGAGTTAGTACCTAATAAGAAGTAAATCGCCCTTAGGGTTAACACACATCGTCATGTTCAATAAATTTGCCCGGACCACCAACTGATATACCTAATGAGCTGAACATGCCCTTACTTTGCCCTATATCTGGTTCGCGGTTTTCCTTGTTCTTCACGTCGAGATTGAAGGTGTCGCTTTCCAGAAAGATCTTAAGATCCCCATCGTGTTGTAATATGTGGTGCGCGGCGACTTTGTTGAGCATACGTTCTAATGCGGCTCGCCGTGATTCAACAAAGTTCGTATCGAATCGACCAACAGCCTGCTTTTCTGGAGGCGGGGGAACAACCACTCCAGGATTGTTACCGTGCAACGAATTGTACAGCCATAGGAAATCTCGATACCGCCTGCTGACAGTGAATTCAGGTTGTCGATACGCTTTAGATGTAGTCTAAGAAAAGAAAAAAAATGAATGAGTTAGGTAACTTCGTCGAATGCAGTGATTGGATTCTCGAGGTATAAAGGCGCTGTATATACCTTCGTCCTAACTTGATATACAATGTGACTGCTGGTGATATCCCCAACTTTATGCGGATCACCAACCGTGATCTCAAATGATGGCTTCGCAGCCTGCTCGATAGGCATGCTAGGCTGCGTTTGACGTTTTGGTGCATCAACCGGAGACTGAACTGGAGGAGGTTCTTTCATTCGCGAACGTGCCATCTGTTCCTCATCGTTCAAATCAACCGAGTCCATCAATCCGCCAGTTGCTGATTGGGATCTCGATGAGGTAGGACGGACATTTCTACCGGAGAAAGGTTCTTTTCGGGGTGGCGTGGGTCCTTGGTTGGGATTTGAGGGGGTCGAGAAGGACTTGTCACCCAACGGGCCGAGCGGATCGAGAGAGTCATCAACGGCTTCAAGCCTGGTGGCCTGCGCGTTGATTTTGCGAGTTGTTCGTGGTACTCTGCTTTGTGGTGATCGGCGGGTGGTTAATCTTGCTTGGGGGGTAAGTTCGTCATCCTTCGCTAGAGACAGCCATTGAGAGTCAACATGGATTTCCATACTTGATGGTGTGATCGGGTTCACTGGGGAGGATGATAAACTGCATACCAGAAGAAGATTCTGTGGCTTCGGTGGGAGTAGACTGGGAGGGAACATCTGTCAATGCCATGGTTAGATATGCATCTGGATGGTAGTTACATAGAAGGGGGATATAAATGTTTGCCTAGCTTACCACCCCACGGCGAGTCGCCCCCTTCTAGATCCATATTTCGGAGGACCTGGAGTATGCTGAGCAAACTAAACAAATTGAATATGATTTTCAACAACCAGCAGGGAAACCGGTAGTGTTCCGCCGTTGGTGTGGATGGTGCAGGAAATCGCTCGAAGCTTTCCTGGGCCAGGTCGGATCAAGCACAGCGGATGTTGTTTCCGTACGGTAATCTTATTTTTACCCACTGCGTCAAACAATACCGAAATTACAGAAGCGTATTTTAATCTGATACAAAGAAAAGCATATATCTTAGATATTGAGGAATCTACAACCGATCTAAAGATACATTGAACAAAAGTTTGAAATATCATTATTCGATTGTGGATATCTCATTTGTGCCCTAAAATATCTCATATTTGTGTTTTTTTAAGCACCCGAAGTAATCCAGATAGGATTCTGTTGAAAACATCCTCCTCTCTGACACATCCATTGTAGGAGGTTCACGGTATTAAGCGATGTCTAATTCTGGTCAAGGATATGCAGACAATTCCGATCACCAAGTATCTATCCTTCCATAAACCGAAATGGGAATAAGGGGAATAATTGTATAGGCCGTTACTTAGCATGTCATCACTCCATCAAATTTAACTGGATTATTTCTGAACAAACATTAATCCGCATCGCCGTGTACTCAGAAATTGCGATGCAGCTGGTTATCCACTTGCCGAATCCCACGACGCATCACGATTTCACCCAAGGCAGACCAAGTCTATGCATTTCAACTGCAAGCTGGAAAAGATAATCCAAGCTTTCGCATTGCGTCTTGGCCTTTGCGACATCGTCTCCCCAAACATATCTACCAAAAAAGAAGAGGTCAGAATGTGAACGACGAACGTAACTGGCACGCACCTGGGCCAAGAGGATATCAAAAGTAAATAGAGTATATATCATATAACTCACATGCCATGTCTCCGAACCAAAACCGCATAGGTATCCGGATACATCTCCATAGCCTCCTCAAGACTCTGCGTCAAATCCTCCTCAAATGCCGTATTTTCAATAATAGGGATCTTCAACGTATCAAAGAACCCCATCATGCCCTTACCTTTGCCCCTAGGGATGCCCTTGATTTGCTCAATGTTGCTAATCTCAAAGCAACCCTCGGGGCCCTTCTCCCGCTCCACAAGCAGCGTCACAAGCACCGCCCATTGGGAATGTGTATGGATGCAGCATCCAGCTCCGCGTTCGAAGGCCGCTAGGAAGAGAGGTGTGCAGGCGGATGGGTTCAACTTGAGTGGTTTGCGGATATATTGGCGGGCGGAGGGGGGGTATTTGGGGGTCGGAAAGGAGAGGACGAAGATGTTGTGGGGTTGGATTAGTTCCTTCTGCACGCCGGATGGTGCTATGAAGATGTGATTGTCACGTTTGATGGAGGCCTATATTTGATGGAGACAATTTGCTCTTGATCAGTTTTTGAGGGGGGAACTGGTCATATATGATAGCAAAAGCTCTGAAATGCGATAATTTTTTTTTTTCCAGCTTACCCCGCCTCCAGTGCCAGTTACCCAGCCATGGCTGTAGAAATTGCGGCAGAGCGCTGGTATTAAATTTGCGGGATGCTCAGGGTCATCGGACTGTACGAGATGGTCATTGTTTCCGTCCTTGATATCTGACATTTTAAAGGTTGGAAGGTTGGAATCTCGTTTGTTCAGTCACTTAACTTGTAGATATTGCAGGGTGATAAAATAAAAGTTAGGGAGCAAGCTCAGGTTGGCGCCAGATCTCCCACACTAAGTAGCCACCAAAGCTTGTCGCCGCCCAATCAACAACACCACGCCATCGGGAAGCCAGCCATGAGCCAAATCAACGTCCATGTTCTAAAATTACCGTACAAAATTTGGAATAATATGGCAATCCAGAGGCAAGAATATGTGACGATGGAACGCTCTATCCATATGCTCACACTGTATGGGATATCAGCGCGCAGGTAGAATGAGAGGCACCGCTTCTTTTCTTCAAGTTCCTGGCAGAACAGCCAGTGTGCACTGAGGCATAACCCATAAACACAATCCTCTTAGCTTGCATGTTAAACAATTGGGTAAAACGGGTTCGATTCCATTGGCATACCTTTTCACCTTTAGAGATCTTGAAGTGATTACCGCACCCCGTGATTGATATATGTCATACAGGGCGAGGCGGCAACATTTCAAATCTCCAAACAGGATCTCCAGCTAAAACCATCTAAATCTTTCATTAGTTTCCCCGCATGTTAAATCGGATGATACCAGCGGGACTCAAGCGTTATCAAAGTTAGGAGATCTCGGATTATAAGCGTTACCCTGTATGTATATGAATACTGTTCCAAAGCAATCTGCATTTGCAGTTGAGATAAGGCCATTTCAAATGAGAGCCCTGGAGCTTTCATCCAAAACTGCTTCATTGAGTATGTGCCATGATAGTTGGCGTTCAACAAAACAGAAGGGAAACATGCTGAGCTAACGAGAATTAAAACAGTGACATTGTCCATATCTTCTTCTACAACATGGTGAGTGGCTTTCATGTCAATGTCAAGGTGATATCAATGTATTACTCCATAGGTATGGTTCCTCAGAATCCTCACATTCAAGGAGTGCTCTAAACGAAGAAATGAGAATGACAATCAGCTAGACTTGGCGCAATGGCCTGGCCTGGCATGAGCTGGTAGATGGGATATCCTGGCAGCCATGGCAAATACCAAGTATGGGAGAATGTGAATATAAATAAGAATTGGGTTGGGTTGGTCCTCCGTTTTGATTATAATTAATTGTATCATTACCTAGAAGAAGGTTTTGAAAATGCCAAGGTTATAAATAAATATGATATGAAGCTGCGGATAAAATACCAACCTTATTACCGAGTAAACCCCCACAGCCAGTAATATTCTCGAACATTCCCAGCGTCTCCAGATTTCTCCGCAACGGGGCTGCACCTAATTGGATGAAGTGTTTGTGTGGACCGCCTTCCCACAAATTTGCTTAGTCATAGGAAATCTTCCGTCAAGTCCCCGTAAAATTACCGGGCCTTACCATACCCCAACCTCCTTGCTCCAAAAGAGGCCACCTTTAACTAACCTTCTCCGTGAGAACCTTTTCCCCCTCTATATAATAACCTATAACCTCCACGCTTCTTCTCTTCCTCCTCCAGTTCCAGAGTCCCCATCTTCTTGCCCTGTAGTTTATCGCCTTACCCCACCCCTTTTCTCGGTTGATTTCAATCTTGCCTTGGTATCCTCGTAGAGAGGCTCTTCTACACAATGCGTCTTAACGCTTCTCTGGCGTCGCTTATCCTAACCTCCATAGCTCTCATTGGCAATGTCCATGCGGAGGATGAGGTTGAGGGAAAGCCCTCATCCACATCTTCCGTGATTGAGAAACCTCTTTTCACTGTACGTCCTCCAGCTCCCAGCTCCCAGCTCGCAAAAATCGAAAAATTTATGCGTACACCAACTGCGAAGAAAGAAGCTAACCCCGTTTGTGTTTGCGATGTACCGTACGTACATGTAGCCCACTACTCTCAAAGCTCCATTCCTCGAGCAATTCACCGACGATTGGGAGACACGGTGGACACCCTCTCATGCCAAGAAGCAGGACTCATCATCAGAGGAGGACTGGGCTTATGTTGGAACTTGGGCCGTCGAGGAGCCACATGTCTTCAACGGCATGAAGGGCGACAAGGGCTTGGTGATCAAGAATGCCGCCGCCCATCATGCCATTTCAGCCAAGTTCCCCAAGAAGATTGATAACAAGGGCAATACCCTAGTGGTTCAATATGAAGTTAAGCTTCAGAGTATGTCGCAGCACTGGCTACTCCTTTTTTGGCGCGTGGTTCTTCGATTGCTGACAGATTAACAGACGGTCTCAATTGCGGTGGCGCCTACATGAAGCTTCTCCAGGATAACAAGAAGCTCCACGCTGAGGAATTCTCGAACGCTTCCCCATATGTGATCATGTTTGGACCCGACAAGTGTGGAGTTACCAATAAAGTATGTTTTCCCGAACCCCTCCCCCCCCCCAAACAAAAAAAAGCGGTGTCGAATTAGGCACGTGGTATTAATATGCTGCGATACAGGTCCATTTCATCTTCAGACACAAGAACCCAAAGACTGGCGAGTACGAAGAGAAGCACCTGAAGAACCCACCAGCCGCCCGTGTCAGCAAGCTGTCCACTCTGTATACCTTGATCGTCAAGCCAGATCAGTCCTTCCAGATCTTGATCGACGGTGAAGCCGTGAAGAATGGCACACTGCTTGAAGACTTTAGCCCCGCTGTCAATCCTCAAAAGGAAATTGATGACCCTGAAGACAAGAAGCCAAAGGACTGGGTTGATGAAACTCGTATCCCCGATCCCACCGCTACCAAGCCCGATGACTGGGACGAGGATGCGCCCTACGAGATTATAGATACTGAAGCAACCAAGCCTGATGACTGGCTGGATAGTGAACCTGATAGCATTCCTGACCCAGAGGCTCAGAAGCCTGAGGACTGGGATGATGAAGAAGACGGAGATTGGGCAGCCCCGACAATTCCCAACCCCAAGTGCAGCGAAGTGTCTGGCTGTGGCAAATGGGAGGCACCTATGAAGAAAAACCCAGACTACAAGGGCAAATGGACCCCTCCTATGATCGATAATCCGGCCTACAAGGGACCATGGACGCCGCGCAAAATCCCCAATCCCAACTACTTCGAAGACAAGACTCCCGCTAACTTCGAACCTATGGGTGCTGTAAGTTTTCTAGAACTACACCAATGATGGAGAGTAATGACCATATGCTAACGAAATGGGATCATTATAGATCGGATTCGAAATCTGGACCATGCAAAACGACATTCTCTTCAACAACATCTACATCGGCCACTCAATCGAAGATGCGCAGAAACTCAAGTCAGAGACCTGGGACATCAAACACCCAATCGAGGTTGCGGAAGAGGAAGCCACACGCCCCAAGGATGATGAGAAGGACAGCTCCTTTGTCAGCTTCAAGGAGGCTCCCGTACAATTCGTACGTGAGAAGATCAATCTCTTCATCAGCATTGCGCGTAAGGATCCCGTGCAGGCAGCCAAAAGCGTTCCGGAGGTCGCTGGAGGTCTGGGTGCTCTTGTCATCACTCTTGCCCTCATCATTGTCGGTGCGATTGGCCTCAGCAGTCCTGCCCCAGCACCCGCTGTTGCGAAAAAGGTGGATGGAAAGGAGAAGGATGGTGCTTCCAAGGAGAAGGCTGCGGAGGCAGTTAGCACTACGGCGGATAATGTGAAGGGGGCAGCTACGCGAAGATCGGGCAAGGCTAATAATGAGTAAGTTGTTTTATTTTTGAGATACCCGCCTGGCGAGGAAGAGTGAGAGTGAGGGTGAGGGTGAGAGGTGAGGTGTGGGAGGAAGGACTGGGCAACAATGTTGTTGTAAGCCTATCCAGGATGATGTCTCCCGTCCACCTAAAAGAGATACCTTGATGCCAACCAAGGAAATCATATAAAAACCCAGAACAAGAGAGCAAAGAAATGAACCAAAAAAAAAAAAAAAATTAAATAAAACATAACATTCCCCACACCTACAAAACATGGAAGTGCAAAGGTGAAGGTAAAGATGTATCACTATTTTCTTGTTATGTCCGTAGAAGAATAACCTAAAATTCGTGAATTTCTGTTCTGTTGTTCTGTATTTCTCTCTTCTTACATGGGAGAAGTTCCTCTGCAATGGTCTTTGCATGTATCGGTTTTATTCTTTTCTATGCCTCCTTTTTTGCCGTATCAAGCATATAAAAATGGAACTCTTTTCATTCCATATTGTTCCCCTCTTCGATTGTTTTCGCTTGAAGCCAGTTGTTGATTCGTTAAGTTAGCTGTCATCTTTACCATTTTCTTCAACTTCCTCTGTTTCCATTTTCCCATTTCCTGTTCCATTTAATCTCTTTCTCTTTTACTCTCATGCTTATTTTCAATTACCGGTGTGCCTGGAAACAGGAAGTAATCCAAAGCGAAGGATGAGAGAAAGTTCTCGGGCTGAATGGCTATATTCTTTGTATATATCTTCCCTTTTTAATTTTAAATTTATTTCGCTTTGAATTGTATCTTCTAGCTAGAGGCTGCCATCAGTACTGTTGCACCATAAAATTAGCCGTCTTCCAAGTATGGACCATACCCACAAAAAATATCTGCTCTTCGGAGTGGGGGCAGAACAGAACGAGATAGAAAAGTTATTTAGCCGGAGAAAACATAGCCAACAGCTGTCTTTTTATGTTGGGGAAAATCCTGGGGAAAGATATAAAAAGTGCTAAACCAATTATTTGTATAAAACAGTTTCGACAAACAAATAATAGAATTAAAAATCCCACCCCTTCTGTCGCGGGATTCACCCATATATAATGGCATGATAGCCTTGCGGCCGAGCAGCGACATGGACCTGTCCTGTCAACTCAAGCGAGCAAAGAGCGTAACGTAGCATTTATGTTAAAAGTGTGGATTTGTTGGCGTCTGACTGACTGGAAAAGACCGCGGCAAAGCGCTTTGCTGAACCCAAGGGTACATATATCATCACCTTAGATAACAAGCCTCAACTTCAAACCTCAACCTCAACCTCACCTCCTAACACTTACAATACCTACAATCATATATCTATCCTTCTACCTTCTCTCTCTCTCTCTCTCTCTCTCTGTGTGTGTGTGTGTGTGTGTCTGTAATATTACCTCGTCTAGTTGCTATGGCTGCCCGTCGTTCCGTTGCTCGGTCCATTCCCACCTTCACCACCCGCCAATCGATCTCTACCCGCATCCCCTTCGCCACCACCCGCAGCATCACAGCCAGCACAACCAGCACAACAAGTAGAATGGCCGCAACTGCCTCTAGATCCCACACTGCAGTTCGCAGATTACACGCCACAGCCCAGCACCTGAGCCCTGCCTCCGCATCTGCCCCTTACCCAGCTGACAACTATCCCACAAGCCATGCACCTATCTCCAGCCCCGTCGACACCTGCAACTTTATCGATAACAAATTCCTCCCCTCCAGCGCCACCTCATGGATCGACCTGCATGACCCGGCGACCAACAACCTCGTCACCCGCGTGCCCCAAAGCACAGATGCGGAACTGCGCGCCGCCGTTGAGAGTGCCCAGAAGGCATTCCCCGCATGGCGCAGCACCAGCATCATGGCCAGACAGCAGATCATCTTCAAGTTCGTCAATTTGATCCGCGCAAATTGGGATCGTCTGGCTGCTAGCATCACTCTTGAGCAAGGGAAGACCTTTGCAGATGCTAAGGGTGATGTGCTGAGAGGCCTGCAGGTTGCTGAGACTGCCTGCGGCATCACCACACAGATCACCGGTGAGGTGCTGGAGGTTGCTAAGGATATGGAGACGAGGAGCTATAGAGAGCCATTGGGTGTGGTTGCGGCCATTTGCCCGTTCAGTATGTGATCTAGCTTTCCTACTACCTTCTTAAACTACGATATATTCCTGGTTTGCTAACTTTTATACAAGACTTCCCTGCTATGATTCCCCTCTGGTCCATCCCCACAGCCACAGTCACCGGCAACTGCTTGATTCTCAAGCCATCCGAGCGCGATCCCGGAGCTGCCATGATTCTTGCTGAACTCGCCAAGGAAGCCGGATTCCCCAACGGAGTTATCAACGTCATCCACGGTTCCGCAAAGACAGTCGACTTCATACTCGACGAGCCTGCCATCAAGGCTATCAGCTTTGTTGGCAGCAACCGTGCCGGTGAATACATCTACACCCGTGGGTCTGCCAACGGAAAACGAGTCCAGGCCAACTTGGGCGCCAAGAACCATGCTGCCGTCTTGCCGGATTGCAACAAGAACCACGCCTTGAACGCCATCACTGGTGCTGCGTTTGGTGCTGCTGGACAACGATGCATGGCATTGAGCACCCTCGTCATGGTTGGGGAGACTAAGGAGTGGCTCCCGGAAATTGCTGAGCGAGCCAAGGCTCTGAAGGTCAACGGTGGTTTTGAAGAAGGTGCCGATTTGGGACCGGTCATCAGCCCTGAGAGCAAGAAACGAATTGAGGACCTCATTGCTAGTGCTGGGAAAGAGGGTGCTACTATCCTACTTGATGGTCGTGGATACAAGCCTGCGAAATACCCCAATGGCAACTGGGTAAGCAAATGAATTCCACTGAGCAAAGCTCCCATTTTTCTCCTTTCATCATCGCAATTTAACTAACCTAATACACCCTTACCTTCAAGGTCGGTCCAACAATCATCACCAACGTAAAGCCACACATGCGCTGCTACAAGGAAGAAATCTTCGGCCCCGTCCTCGTCTGCCTCGAAGTCGAAACCATCGACGAGGCCATCTCCCTCATCAACGCGAATGAATACGGCAACGGCGCTGCTGTCTTCACCTGCTCAGGCCCCACTGCCACTAAGTTCCAGCGCGAGCTTGAGGCGGGCCAGATTGGTATTAATGTGTATGGTTTCCCCCAAACAGCAAGAGTATTGCTGCTAGTATTCCCGCCCACATTCCCAAGTGTACCAGTGAACTACGAAAGATAATATACACTAACACCAATTAAATTAAATAGTCCCATCCCCGTCCCCCTCCCCATGTTCTCCTTCACAGGTAACAAGAAGAGCATCGCTGGGGGCGGCGCGAACACCTTCTATGGCAAACCCGGCTTGCAATTCTACACACAGCAGAAGACTGTCACAAGTCTGTGGCGCAGTGAGGATGCGGTTAATACAAAGGCGAGCGTCGTGATGCCTACGCATAGTTAATTTCTCTCCTTTTCTCCCCACTTTTTGTTTTACCCCCTTATTAGTGTTTTCTTGGACCGTTTGCAATATAACATATATATGTGATGTTTGTTTTGCTTTCTATATATATTTCCAAAAACTGCTTTTGATAAGAGATACATAACTTGATGTTATTTTTGATTGGATGTACATGAACACTACAATACTAACATGCTTCCGAATGAGTGCGATGTTCGTTTCGGATGGTGTAGGCACATGTTAATATGCCCCGACATACCTGAGCCAGACGAATATATATACCGTAGTATATATGCCTCGTATACGGCAAAGGGGTTTTGGAGAGGTAGTGCAGGAGAAAAAAAATTATGGAGAATGAAAAAAAATTGAAAACGATTATATTGTCCGTAGAAGAGTGTTTTCTGTTTATTCCACGCAGAATGTTGCAGATATGGTGCAATAAGAATGATCTACGGTTAGAGGGCTCTATTAGTTCACTTTGCAGATTTTGGACATTAATATTCCACTATGAAATGTGAGAGAGAAACTGGATATTAGGGAGGGGGAAAAACATGTCTTGCTCTAAGTGTCATCTTATAGAAATTTTGGCGCTGATCTCTATCGCATCCATGTGTGTACACCGATACAAAAACGACGAGGAAATAAGGGGCATTTTGAGATCTCAACTCTATCCAGCAACAATTGGGATATATTGCACTACATTAACGCGTATATAAAACACATCCCCTGGTATCATAAAACTGGCTATTAACTTTTAACAGAATCCCCGTCTACTTGGTGCTGCGGTCAACGAAGGTATAGACCAGCCTGACCTTCTCGACCTGTCCATCTTTAGCAACGACGATGCGGCGTGTATGGCGTCTGACACCATCAACCATCTCGAACCCCCAGATCTAATAGGTCAGAAAATCGTCATGTTAGCAAAAGCCGGCTTGCATCATCTAAGCCAACAGCAAAATCCGAAGGAAGCATAGTCAATAATAACGTGTGTATATATGGACAACATACCTGTTCGCCCGTCCACCCACTCTCCTGACTCCGAACCCAACTCTGCATAAAATACTCGTTGGCGGCATCAACCACAAACCCGTCCGTCAAATCGCCATTCGCCAAAATCTCGCCCCTCAAAAACTTCGCCACAGCCTCACCCTGCGTGCCATCGTCATCCCCGCAAATTTTCGTCTGCACATCGACGGCAGGTCGTCGCTTGCCGTCCGCGTCCGCGTCGCCCGCCTTGACGAAGCGGCTTTGCCCAATGACGCTACCGAAGATGTGGTCCTGGTGCGGCTTTTCGGACCAGTTGAGGACTCGGTGTTCGGAGGTTCCCTTCAGGCCGCCTGTGAGGAGCTGGGCGATGTCGAGAGTCACGTCGCCTGTTTCGGGGTTTTTGGATTGAGTTACTTTGAGGGTTATGGTGGCGATGCCGATGGCTTTGCGGGTTAGCCAGGACAGGCCTTGCTGTTTGTGGGTGGGCGTGGTTAGTTTGAAATAGTCACTTCGAGTTGTAACGTTTCGTTTTATTTTATTTCATTTTTCTTTTCTTTGCTGCTCTTTTGGGGCATGTGAAGTG